GTCGGATCACCGCCCTGCGGATGTGGCGTAGGCGCCGTATGTACACTTGCACTGGGAAAGTGCTGAAATGCGACCAGATACTAATCACGACCACCGTGTCCGAGCCCCCTCGTAAGCCATCCAGCTCATTTGAGATATAGTGCATCTCAGCCGAGGACACGGACGTGAAGCGGATCGGTGGCCCGTGGCAGCGGTATCTCAATAATATGTTGCGATTGCTGTCCACTGCCATGTATGGGCCAACATTCTTTGGGCTATGAAAATTGAATTCCTTAAGCTCTGTATTGTGAGATAAAACAGAGGGTGAGATGTAGATAAGACAATAGATTCATGCCCACTCAGGAATAAAATGTGTAAAATACTTAATTAGCATGAAGATATATAAAAAAAAAACTCACCCTGGACTACAAACAAATATCTGTACTTCAGTTGTCTCAGGCTACATTCACATTGTACTTTTTATGGAAGCTATTCAATATGACTGTATACTATATATTGTTATTTTTTTCATGCTTTGCTTTTTTGACATTGGGTTGGCTGAAAAAGTTTTGGAGATGTGGTCAAAGCCAACAAAAATGACTACAAATCAATACAGCACCTTTAAAAAGAGTTTCAAAAATATTACTGACCTGGAACATGGGCAATGAGATACTCGTACCACTGTCGCACAGTGGAGTCTCCATACATGTACACCATTTTCCCTCGAAGACACTGTGTTATGACTAAAGAGCCATTAAACTGACGCATGACGACACCACTCAAAGGTCTCCATGATCCCTGGTAGTAGTACCCAGAAGGAGTGAATTCAAAGTGCATTCCTTTGGTTTGTACTGGAAGGAAAGAGGAAACAGAAGAAAAAATGATGATGATGAGAGAAAGAAAGAAAAAATGCTGATGAGAACTTAGAATTTAAATCTGTTAATACTGTTCTTGTATATATAAAATGATACCACCTTTCAAAAGTTTGGGGTCAGTAAGTTATAAAAAAAATAATAATAATAAATTAAAGGGATAGTTCACCCAAAAATGAAAATTCTGTCATTCACCCTCATGTCGTTCCAAACCCACAAGACCTTCGCTCATCTTCGGAACACAAATTAAGACTACGTCTACACGAAGCCAGAGCTTTCCCTATCCAATCTTTTTTTTCCCTCGTCTCTTGTTAATCTAATGAATAACTGATTTGTTAAATCAAATGAAAAATTGTGTTTTTGATTGGTCCAGACGCTACACAGATTTATCCACTCTGAGACCCGGTTTCAAAAAATATCGGTTTCACTCTCCCAAAACGCCAGATCCGTGTGGACGAAACGCCTATACGGTACAAAATGTATGCGTATACAGCTAAACGCGTCTCCGTGTGGACGGGGCCTAAGATATTTATGAAATCCAAGAGCTTTCTGACCCTGAATAGACAGCAACACAACTTCCACATTCAAGGCCAAGAAAGATAGTAAGGACATTGTTAAAACAGTCCATGTGACATCAGTGGTTCAACCGTAATTTTATGAAGCTACGAGACAACTTTATTTTTGTTGTTTTTTTATTTTTTATAGTTATATACCCTGTATATAACTATAAAAAAATATATATACCCTGTCTATACAGGGTCAGAAAGCTCTTGGATTTTATAAATATCTTAATTTCTGTTCCAAAGACAAACGAAGGTCTTACGGGTTTGGAAATACATGAGGGTGAGTAATTAATGACAGAATTTTCATTTTTTTGAGTGAACTAACCATTTAACACTTTTGTTCAGCAAGAAGGCATTAAACTGATCACACTAACGAATAAACACATTTAAATTGTTACAAAAGTGTATCATGGTTTCCACAAAAATATTAGGCAGCACAACATTTTCAACACTTATAATAATATAAAATGTTTCTTGAGCACCAAATCAGCATATTAGAATGATTTCGGAAGGATCATGTGACACTGAAGACTGGAGTAATGGCTGCTGAAAATTCAGCTTTGCCGTTATAGGATTAAGTTACATTTAAAAATATACTAAAATAGAAAACATTTTAAATTGTAATAATATTGCACATTATTACACAGCTCTCTGAAATGTATCACTCCACTGTTGCTGATCAATGTGTCTAATTATTTACTTTTGTTGCAAGCAGCCGTGTAATAAGTGGGATAATGTACATCCAGCTGGTTGTTATCGCAAAATAAAGCCCTTTCAGTCAACTGCAAATGTTAGCTCAGGCATATCCCCCTTCTTTTGACATCAGTATTATTTCTTCCACATATTGTATATTCTGTGCCCTTGCTGTTCAATGTTTAACTCTCTCAATTTCAGATCACTATATCATGACAAGCCATGCAAGCAGTCCTCAAACATAATAGTCATTGTCTCTATTAACTGCATCATCCTCATAAATAATTTTCTATTAATAGCTAACTTCTTGTGTAACATGGACAGCCACAGTTATTGTATTAATGTCAAGCTGATGGTACCTTGGGAGGTTAATCGCAGACTAATTTATTGCAAAGCCGAAACCCCATATACAGCCAAAGACAACTGTTATGAATCAACAACAAATCAATCTTTATGTTTTATTGCCAGAGTGTTCTTAACTGAACTGTGTTTTTAATCAAAACAATGCAGCTTTGGTGAGATTTCCTTCAAAAACTTTCAAAAAAATCTTACCAACCCCAAACTTTTGAACGGCAGTGTAAATAATATAATATTACATGTGCCACAATACCTTTAGCAGGTTGAACAGTCACATTGTCCACCCCTGCAGAATGTATTGGAATTTTGATATTTACTCCACTAGAACAAAACAAAATTAAAGTGTCATTCATGAGGAAAGTAGAAAAAATTGTATGTTCATCATTAAACTGAAATATTTATAATATATATAATCTGCATTCTATGCACAGTAGATGTTGGCATCGGCCAACAGAAATAAATATATCGCTCAATCACTACTCTAATGCAGACTCACCTTTGGAAGAACTGTGACTCATAAACAGTGAGAAGGTGTTTCTTATACCCCCCTTTTGAGTGGTTAATCCGTGTATCACAGTCCAACATCTTGGGCTTATAACAGAACCAGGGTTCTCCAGTCTGGGGGTCTGTGTAGTTGCAAAGCGGCTGCTGTTTGTGCGGCAAACACAAATTACACAGAGTTGTCTCAGAGAGGTACCCTGAACGGAAGAGGCTTTTGAAGAACACTCGGTCTGATTGTTCCTCTCTCAATCGCCTGAGGACCATCACGGCTTCACTGGGGTGAATCATTGTCAGTTCCACCTGGGCAACACCTGCCCAAAGAAGCAGGAAAAATACTGTGTAGTTTCCATTGTTGTGGTCGTGTACCTGGCCAGCCACACCTGCCGCCAGTTCTGGCGTGTGAAGTCGCGCAACTAGAAAGTCTCCTCCGTGTTTTTTGGGCTGACCCAAAAAATTGTGCATCTGCACTTTCACTACCAGTTGCCCACCCACCTGCAGATCTCCAGGGTCTTGGATTATATAATAGCTCTGTGCAGGATCGCTACTTTGACGTAACGGCAGTCCCAGGACCAACGGCTCTGGCCAGGCAATGGATTTGAGAAGATAGCTCTCCTCCCTGGCTTCCTCTGCATTGGGCTCCTGGCCAAGGTGGGCACAGAAGGAGTAGTTAAACTCCACCGGTAGAAAAAATTCAGAGGTCTTTAAGACTGACTGGATGCTGTTCTGAAGCTGATAGAAGGTAGATACTCTCTGACAGTTCCAGCTCTGCAGAAGACAAAACACAGAAGCTTTAATGTGAAATTTCATTACAGAGAAGCATGAGAAGGTTTCCAGAGTTCAGAGGGCAAGATAAGTGTTGGCTTATTACAATAACCTTTGAAAACAAGTGCATGATCATGAAATATTAAAATATTACGAAACATGCTTTGTACCCTGACTTTAAAAGTAACCTTATTCTTACAGTAAGAACCTCATGTGTTTTCACAAGCAAAATTGTAACATGGCAATAGGTGAATGATCTGCTGTGTGCTAAATCTAATAATTAGAAAATCATTCTATATTTACATCCACAAACTAACTAATTATATTGCCTACAACCTGTTGTTTTGTGACCATACACCACTTCACTGTAGTATTATCTTCCTCAAGGTAGTTAGCCATCATAAAAATGAAAAGTAAGTCTTGCACAAATAATAAAAACGTGAACTACTTACTTCCACATTGCAAATAAGATGGATTACCCATTTATTGTTCACTAACTAGAACAATACTTTAATGGATCATGACTGGCCATGGCTGTACTGTTTAGTGCATCCACAAAACTTTATAACAATCCAAAACACAAGATAGGACTTTTTTTTATTAGAAAATGTGTCCATTTAAGAGAAAAACTTAACTTAAATTGGGGGATTTAAGCACGTCACATCTGGCAACCGCAACCATGAAAGCTTGTGGATACTTGCTACCACTACAAGATGATGCAAATGCAAAATGAAAATGAAACGTTTTTCCATATAAATAACCAGCGGGCAACAACTGAAGATGATTTTGCTTAATAAATTGAGAGAAGCAGAAATCGTGATTACAATTAAAATATGATTTATCATGCAGTCCTATGAGTTTCCATAACTCATTCTGTAATTTTCCTGTTTATCACTGTAAAGCTGTTGTAACACCATCTATATTGTAAAGCACTATAAAAATAAAGGTGACGACTTTTACTCACTTCCAATGAGGTGATATTCCACAGCAGGAATAAGAGTCCTGACAGAGCCAGCAGAGTGAAGAATGGGACATATTTGGGAAGGTATTTCTCCATGGTTTCCTCTCTCTGTCATCCTCCTCTCCAGCACTACAGCAGATCATGGCTGGCCATTATTGCATGCTAATCAAATAGATCAGACCAAAATAGCATGTAAATAGCAGTATTCAAATACATTTATGATGACTTTGTCAAATCAGGCTCCCATTTAAACATAATTACAAATAGTGGTCGACCGATATATCGCCAAGGCCGATATTTGGCATTTTTCAAATATCGGCATTGGCCGATAAGTTTTTTTGTTTGACCGATGCGTTCGAGGTGGGACTTTTATTTTGACGGCGCTGAGAGCGGCAGCGCCTGAGCACACAGCGCTCACATTCTCCCTCTTGTTCGCTGTCGTCGTTAACAGTTCTGTCTAGAGGACCTACAATAATGTACAGTATTTGAAAAATAATGTGTTTTTTGAACATTAAAGCATGTCAACATATTCTGTTACGCCAAATACACAAAATAATGATCTTTAAAAAAGCATCATATGACCCCTTTAAATTCGTGATTTCAAATTATGCTGCGCTTTATGCATTTGCACTGTCAATTTCACTGTGTGCTGTATGTAAAATGAGTGTTGCCTTGGCTTTATTTGAAAAAATATGATTCCCAATGCATACAAACTTCTCAGAATACTGAGTGCCCTGTTGGTTACAGTTTACGTCCTTTTTAATTATATTTTTATTAAATATTTATTTATTTGTGGAAAATACTTTGTCATCTAAAGTATAAATATGTTTATTTTATAAATTTATTTTTTTATCCATTTTCAAATGATTTCAAATTTCTTAAATATTAATTAAAATAAATACAATTATATCGGCTTTATATCGGCCATCGGCCACCCTGCTATCCAAGATATCGGCATCGGCTGTCAAAAAAACAATATCGGTAGACCACTAATTACAAATTAAATTAAAATCATTTTTACCCCCTGTAATCTGGCTCCGAATCGCAGGTGAAAATTGTAATTTTGACCCCCCTCTCCAAAACAGTGGATTACTCAGTAAATATACATCAATACCATTTAATTATTTTGGCTTTCAGCACTATATGTTAATCTTTCTTCAGAAAAAAAACAATGATAAATTAAAAAATTTGAGCTGGGGAAGTTTCTGAAATTTGGTTTATTTGACACAGAATGACCCAGTTCTATTTCTGTTCATCTAGTGTCAGAGAGTTGAATTTAAATTTTCATTCAGCCCTTTGCTGCAGACTACTGCAGCTATTGTTAAAATAGTCCAATATTTTATGCAGTATACACAGTGTTGGAAAAGTTAACCGGTGGATTGAAATTAAGCTAATGGGCATTCTAAAAATCTAAATCATTCGGATAGTAATGCACTATCTGAATAGACATCATTATCAGACAGACGCTGCTCCATCCCTATTCCATTCGAAGGGTTTACTCTACAAAATGAGAGCTTCAAAGGGACGAAGGGTGTAGGGGACCAAAAAAATGTTCCTTGAAATGCACGTCTGCGTCATATTGCCAAGCTAAGGACGCGCCATCATCGCACAATTAAACCAGCGCAAAGAATTATAGGAGCCAAATGTCCATCAGTTATACCATTCGAAATCCTTCATTCCGAAGGGCCCTTTGAAGGGGCCAGAGTTTTGAGCATATCGGGTTGCTACGACCCTTCAATATGGCGGCCACGATTGTGTCCACTCCCAAGAGCCCTACAGTGATGGATTTATCCCGCTTACTTTGAATGCAGCAAGAGTTTACATTAAATCCAAAAATCTGGATCGTTTCAGATACAAACACAGCATTATCTATATCAAATTTTCTGTTATCACATCTGTTCAGGTTTGCATCCAAAATCTCAGTTCATCCTAGTTAATTTATTTACCTGACGCGGTCGGCTCTGATGAGCGGTTCTGTGAGGGCTCGCGCGCACTAATAGAGAAGCACGCCCATTGGCTACAACGTGCAGGTATTATGGCCAATCACGAAATTCGACATTGCGCAGCTGCATTATCCTACTGCGTTTTATTATATATCATTTTATTGCGCTACATTTTTGTGCAGAATTTTACTCACTTTCTTAGGCTATTGGGTGAATAATAGATAGAAATAAATTTGTATTTCCCATTTGAACTTGAACACAGACTACAGTTACTTTTTTGATTACTTCCTATTCACATAATAGCAATAGCCTATATTATTTATAATTTATCGATTCTCCTTTATTTATTTATTTTTTAATTTTCCTTTCGAAAATAGTCTACCTAATATATATTTAGAAAGTCTTCCAGTTCTGTGGACATTCACACAAAGACCAGTCACTAGTCAGGTGGCTATAATTACACAGAAAATCGAGCATTTGACTACTGGATTTACAAAAATCATTTCAATTTTATTTGAATTATCACAGTGAGTATTGTATTACTATATCTTTGGAAGGCTTTTGTATTTCAAACACACTAAAATTCACAAATTCATGTTATTCCCCAACTTTTTTGTCAGCTGAACATATATTTACTTGAAGTACACCCTGAGGTTTTAAGGAAGTAAGTTAATAAGTAACACATTTGCATGTTAATGGTTCTCTGATGTTGGTTTAAGGTCACGTGACAGGCAGCTAAACAAAATATTTTGCACATTTTATCAACTGAATAACATAGAATATTTGACTGTCCCACATCAGTCAAAACGTGCTGTCCCACTTTTGAAACATCCTTTTCTAAAGTGGGACAACATAGATCGCTTCAAATGGAAAGTATTCTTAACACATTTTAACAATATTATTGCAAAATTTGTTGTACAAATATATCACTAATATAATTTGATAACAATTTAGAACATTGTTTTATTTATAACAGATTTATATCCTTAACATTAATTTTGTCTAAATCCTATGTCACTGTCCTTTGAGCCATGCAGCCTTTTTTATTTTACCTTTATTTAACCAAGAAGTTGAGATTTAAAATCACTTTTTCAAGAGAGACCTGGCCAAGGTAGCAGCCATACAGTAAGACAATTTTAAAATACAAGAAGTACACATTACAACAATATTTAAACATCCTCTCAAAAAAAAAACAATCACAAGCTTCCAATACCACTCTCTTTATGATGCATTTAAATTCACCAATAGACACAAATGTATCTAGTTTTAGATCTTTTTGTAAATTATTCCATGCCCAGGGTGCATAATATGAAAATGCCGTTTTCCCCAGTTCTGTACAAACTCGAGGTACGTTAAAAAAAAAAAAAATTGTGAGGCTATTGTTGACAATTTAATAACATCTGTATCATTGCTTTGCAAAAGTATATTTTTAACATTGCTTTATAGATAAAAATGTACCAATGCTGTTTTCTACGTATAGCTAATGATGTCCAACCCACCATCTCATATAGAATGCAATGATGAGTATGGGATTTTGCATTTGTAATAAAACGTAGTGAAGCATGGTATACCGAATCAAGTCTTGTTAAGATAGAGGAGGGCTGCATGCATGTATAATATATCACCATAATCAAGCATAGTTAGGAAGGTAGCTTCTTTTTGGCATTAAAAGTAAAATTAGATGTATTTCTAAAATAAAAGCCAAGCTTTAGTTTGAGCTTCCTGATTAGATTAGCAATATGTACATTGAACAAACGTTTATCATCATTCCAAATGCCCAAGTACTTGTAAGAAGGTACTCTTTCAATAATTTTACCATCAGATGTAAAAATACTAAGATTATCAAGTACTTGTGACCTTTGAGTGAACTTTCCAAGAGGTACTTCCTGTTTGATGGTTTCATGGCCACATTTCTGACATCATTTCCAGAAAGTCAAGTGATTTCAATAATTTGACACCCCTGCTTGAATTCAACAATAATCATGTTCACTTTCATGTTGTAAAAGAAGAAATGAACGCACTGAAGCTTAATGTTCCACATTAGTCAGTGTCCCACATAACACTAAGTAGTAGTAGTAGTATATTATTTGTACTATAAGTAATGTAAACTGAGATACTTTAAAATCCAGGTACAATGCCACCCCCCATAGTGTCACAAAATCTGTGGGAAACACTGTATTGTAGAGACAGACAGACACGCGCGCGCGCTGCAAAACTGCCTTGTCATTGGATACAAATTTATGCAACCTTAAACCTCCTAGTGCACAAAGCTGGCATGCTTCTCGAGCCAACTTGATGGCCTTCTCTACACTTTCCACACTGGAGACTCCATCATCCATGTAGAAATCCTGCAAAATAAACTGTGAACCCAGGGGGTACAGATGTTCACCTTCTCTTGCAAATATCCTCTCATGCTGGCATCTGAGAAGTGATGAATCTCTCTCCTTGTGATTGTCCCAAACCCAGCAGGCACAATACAACGAGGCACCTGAATCTTCTCCAAGTTAAGAAGATCGGCCTTCCACTGCTCCCAACCTGGCTGCAAACCATCAGGTAAGGGATCATCCCAGCCCATGCCATTTCGGCACATTTCTTGAAGAACAATCTTTTCTTTGAGGAAGAACGGTGCAAGAAACCCTAAGGGGTCGAATAACGAGGCCACAGTAGACAGTATACCTCTACGGGTTGCTGGCTGGTCCTTAACAATGACTCGAAATTTGAAATGATCATGTTCCAGATGCCAGTAAATGCCCAAGGCTCTTTCCAAAGGCTGGTCAGTGAGGGAGAGATTGACTGCTGTAACATCTACAGCACACTCAGAGGGCGGTATTGTCTGCAAAACTGCCTTGTCATTGGATACAAATGTATGCAGCCTTAAACCTCCTAGTGCACAAAGCTGGTGAGCTTCTTGAGCCAACTTGATGTCCTTCTCTGCACTTTCAACGCTGGAGACTACATCATCCATGTAGAAATCTTGCATAATGAATTGTGAACCTAGGGGATGCAGATGTTCACCTTCTCTTGCAAGATGCTTCAGTCCATAGTTAGCACATCCGGGGGATGACGAGGCACAAAACAGATGTACTCTCATGCGGAACGTTTGAGGTTGTGAGTTGAAATCTCCATTTCTTCACCATAGAAATCATAAGTAATCACGATCTGCTTCGTCAACATGGAACTGGTGGAACATCCTCTCAATATCACACATCAGGGCT